GGGCTTAGAGCAATGGAGCAGGAACTAGAAGCCTTCGACCTGAAGTTTAGTCCTCATAATGCTAGATGATAATATGCAAACTGTGAAGGGAGAAAATCAATCAGTGGTCCAACCCAGCCCTGAAACCTAATAACCATAACAACCAGCACAGCAAACTACCTCTATTGGTACAGCAGCCATGTTATCTGGGGGGTAATCAATAGCTATCTAATTGGACTTAAAACCCTCTCAATGGAAGTGAACTCCTGGGTGGCACTATAAACACAGCCAAATACACATGGCTGGAGAGGACATACATCCAAGAGAAAAATCCTCTCTGTCATATCCCTAGATGAATGAAATTTCTTACATGCTAAATATGGGTCCTTATATACAGACAAGCATACCATACACCACTCATCAAAGAAGCTTCTTTTTCTTTATTTAAGCACTCTTTCTTTAATTGAATTTTTGTGAATTTCATACAATCTGTTTTGGTCATATTTAGACTTCCTCCCCTATCTGCATCCCCTCTTACTATCCCCTGCCTGATTTTGTATCCCTGTATCCCCTTTTGTGTGGCTCCATCTATTGGAGCCTGGTTAACTTACCCAGAGGCATACCCTTAAAGAAAACTGACTCTCCCTCTCCCAGATACTATGGGTTGCCAGTAGTCCTCAGCTTGGGTTGGAGCACCTTTCCTACCCACTCCCCACTTCTATGCTGGAAATTTTTGTCTGGCTTGAGCTTACATGGGTCTTATAAATGCTGTCACAATTGCTGTGAGTTCATATAAGTAACTGCCCATCTGTCAGAAAAACATTGTTTCCTTGTGGTCATCCACCATCTCTGGCTCTTACACTCTTTCTGTCCCTGCCTATCACAATGATCTCTGAGCCTTGGGAAGCAGAGATTTGATAGTATCCTATTCAGGGATAATAACTCTGTACTCTCTTATTCTCTACACATTGACCAGTTGTGGGTCTCTATGTTAATCACTACCTGCTGCATGAGTAAACCTCTCTGGTGAGAATTGAAAGATGCATTAATTATGCATATAACAATAAATCACTCCTAGGAGTCAAGTTAATATTATGTTAATTTAGCATAATGATAGAAGAAGGTTCTCTGCTATGGCCTGTGACCTGTCTATCCACAACTTCCTAGACTTGATGTCAGTGTCAGGTATGGGCTCCATCTTGTGAAGCAGGCCTTAAATCCAGTTAGAAAGTCATTGGTTACTTCTACAGCAGATGTGCCACTTACACAAGTGGGCTCATCTTGCCAGGTCAGTTGTTACAACTCGAAGGATTCACAGCTGGGCAAAGTTGATGATTACTTTTCTCTTCTGGTAGCATGCATAGTACCTTCCAGCACTATGAAATCTAGGCAGTAGAGATGAAGCTTTGATGTCAGTACCAGCTTGAATTCTCTCCTTGTTTGTTTTACAACTCATGTATGTAGTGTCTTAACAATAGGATTTTACCATCAAGTTCTGGTGGGTAACCAGGTGCAAAGGCAATATCCAATGTTGTTTGAGGGTCTATGGGAACCCTGGTCAACAGCTTCAAAAGAAGGAATCCATTCATAGCTTTGGGCTTTTATTTTGTTAGCCTATGGTGTCTGATAGGGGAAAATGTCCCCCTGTTGTAGGGTAACTCCTTTTAAACTCTTTTTTTAAGTATACACACACACACACACACACACACACACACACACACGCTGCTTTTAGGACTATAGCTCTAGTGTAGTTTGAGATCACGGATGGTAATGCCTCCAGCAGTTCATTATTGTTCAGATATTTTGTGTGGTTTCCTATCCTGAGTTTTTGTTTTGTTTTGTCTTGTAAAACTATTCCTGGAGAGATATGAACAACTGTCTGCTCACCCCAGATAGGGAACCAACAACAGACCAAATCCCACTTAGTGAACCAATGAGTTTTAATGGGGCTACATAAGAACATGGTTAAGGGCTTACTTACAGGAGCAGAGACAACAGCAGTATCAAAGCTCACCCTGCCATGGGTTGACAGTTTACAGAAGCAGGAAACCTGGCACATACTGCACAACCTACAGGCAGTTCAGCAGGCTGGAGAGTGTCCTTTCCAGATAGCTCAGTTGGTTTGAGCCTCTCTTTCAAACAGCTTGGCTTATCTCAGTTTCTTTCAGGCAGCTCAGCTAGTCTCTGCTTCTTCCTGTTTGCTTGGCTAGTCTGAGAGTACCCCTTGGCAGTTTTACATATGCTTGGGGATTGAGTAGCCTAGGAAGGAACCTGGTCAAATTCAGGTACTTCCTGAAGCTATTAAGTTGTTTACTTCTTGAATTTGAGGAGGTTCTCTGCAGGATGTAATATTTCTCCTCCCTCAAAATGTTCTGTAATTTATCTTTCTAAATTTAGAATATACTTCTTTTTTAACCTCCCTTTAGATAGTCTGTTTTTCACCTTTCTAAATTTAGAACATCTTGTTGTTTATCTCCCTTCAGGCATTCTGTTGTTTGTCTTCTTTCAGACATTCTGTTGTTTATTCCACTTCCTTCCAAGATGGAAGGTTTTTACCTGGAAGGAAATTGCCAGGCAACATGTCTCTATATGAAATTTAAGATATTTCTAATTTTTGTGAAGAACTATGTTGGAATTTTAATGGCTATTGCATTGAATCACCATTGTAGGTTGCTTTTGGTAGGATGGTCATTTGCACAATATTAATCCTGCTGATCCATGGTATGGGAGCTCTTTCCATCTTCTGATATCTTCTTCCATTTCTTTCTTCACTGTCTTAATTTTTTTATTGCACATGGTCTTTCAGTTGCTTGTTTAGATTTATTTTAAGATATTTCATGTTTTCTGAGGCTATCATGAATGGGATTGTTTCCTTCATTTCCTTCTCAGTATATTTGTTGACATTACATAGAAAGGCTGCTGATTTTTGTATATTTTGTATCCTGCTAGTTTGATGAATGTGTTTATCTGCTCTAGGAGTATTTTTCAGGTGGAGTCTTTAGGATCTTTTATGTACAGTGTCATATCATTTGCAAATAAAAATACTTTGATTTCCTTTACAGTTTGTATCCCTTTTATCTCCTTTACTTGTCTTATTGCTCTAAGACTTTAAACACAATGTTTAACAGGAATGGAGAAAGTAGACATCCTTGTCTCATTCCTGATTTTAGTGGAAATGCTTTTGAGTATTTCTCCAGTTAGTATGATGTTAGCTGTGAGCTTGTTGTATATTGACTTAATGATGTTTTGATATGTCTCCTGTATCTCTAGATTCCCCATGCCTTTTATCATGAATGTATGTTAGATTTTTGTCAAAGGCCTTTTCTGCATCTAATGAGATGATCGTGTGGTTTCTGCCTATTTATATGACAGATTATGTTTATTGATTTATGAATCCCTACATTTCTGGGATGCTTGACCATGGTGGACAATCTTTGTGATGTGTTCTTGCATTTGGGTTGTGAGCATTTTATTGAGAATTTTTTATCTATGTTCATCATAGATAAACATAGATACTGCTAAATTTGCCTATAATTTTCTTTTTCTGTTCAATCTTTGTCTCATTTGGGTATCAGGGTAATATTAGCTTCATAAAAAGAATTTAGAAGTATTCCTTCCTTTTCTATTTTATGGAATAATTTGAGAAATACTGGTATTAATTCTTCTTTGAAGCTCTGATAGAATTCTGTGCTGTATTCATCTGGTCCTGGGTGTTTTTTAGTTGGGAGATTTTTTTGAAATCACTGCTTCTATATCATTGGTTGTTATGGGTCTATTTAAGTTGTTTATAACATCTTGGTTTAATTTTGGTAGGTCATACATATCTAGAAATTCATCCATGTCTTTAAATTTTTTCAGTTTAGTGAACTATGTTTTAAAGTACTTTCTTGTGATTCTCTGAATTTCCTTAGGGTCTGTTGTAATGTTTCCCTTTCCATCTTGGATTTTATTAATTTGGGTCCCCTTCTCTCTTTTACTTTTGGTTAATTTGGGTATAGGTTTGTCAGTCTTTTTAATCATTTTGAAAAGCGAACTCTTTGTTTTGTTGATTCTCTGTATTTTTTTTTTTGTTGTTCATTTCTGTTCTATTACTCCAGACCTGATTTTGATAGTGTCTTCTTGTCTACTGTTTTTGGACAACAGATGTTCTTGCTTTTCTAAAGCCTTCAGGTGCATCTTTAAGTTATTAAGATGAGACATCTTTAATTTCCTCACCTAGGCACTACTATAAACTTTGCTCTTAGGACTGCCTTCATTGTGTCCCATAGATTTTGGTATGTTGTGTTTTCATTTTCATTCAATTCCAGGAATTTTTAAATTTCCTTCTTGATTTCTTCCTAGAACAAATTTTCATTCAGTAGTATGTTGCCTAGTTTCCTTGAGTTTGTGCATTTTCCCACATTTCTATTGTTGTTGATATCCACCTTTATTCCTTTGTGGTCAGATAAGATACAGGATATTAGTTCACTTTTCTTAAATTTGTTGAGACTTGCTTTGTGTCCTAATGTATAGTCAATTTTGGAAAACCTTCCAAAGATTGCTTCCAAATCCATAGATTGCTGAGAACAAAGTGTATTCTTTGGTGTTTGGGTAGAATGTTCTGTAAATGTCTGTTAGGTTCATTTGGTTTATTTCATTTAACTCCAGGGTTTCTCTGTTTGGTTTTTGTCTAGATGATCTGTCTATTGGTGAGAATGAGGTATTGAAGTTACCCACTATCACTGTGTTGGAATCAATCTGTAATTTTAGATCTAAGAGTGTTTCTTTAATGAAATTGAGTGCCCCTGTGTTTGGTGCATGTAAGTTTAGGAATGTAATTTCTTCTTGGTGGATTTTCCCTTTAATGAATATGAAATTTCCTTCCCTATCTCTTCTGACTAGTTTTAGTTTGAAATTCATTTAATCAGATAGTAGAATAGCTAGGCCTGCTTGTTTCTCAGTTCCATTTGCTTGGAATAGCTTTTTCCATCCTTTTACCCTAAGGTGGTGTGGAGCATTGATGTTACGTTTCTTGAAGGCAAAAAAATATGAAATGCTTCACAAATATGCATGTCGTCTTTGCTCAGGGGCATGCTAATCTTCTTTGTATGTTCCAACTGTAGTATGTGTGCTGCTGAAGTAGGCACCACATTTATATTCTTATTCTATCTGGAATTGATTTCATGCATGATGTATAAACAGCTATTTATTGTATTGTTTATTGAATAGCCCATTCGTTCCATTAAAATGGTGTTTTGTCTTAGTGGTCACACATCAAATTCTAATATTTATTTGCATCCTTTTCTGCTAAGTACATCTTTCTCTTTCTGCCACATAATTATCCTTGGTATCTGCAGGGTATATCTGAAGATGCTCAAGCAGACTATAAAATGCTACAATGTTTGCTTGTATCCTATACAATCCTCATGTAGACTTAAAATAACGCAATACCTAACCCAATATAAATACTATGCAAATAATTACTGTATTGTTTAGGGGCTAATGACAAGGAGAAAAAAGTTCATGTATGAGGTGGGTGAGAAGGCTTAGTTGGTAAAAGTGTTTTACCAACACTGACACCTGAGTTCCATCTGAAGAATTCATGATAGAAGGAGAGAATCAACTCCCAAAGGTTGTCTTCTCATCTCTGCATATACATAACACACACTCACCTGCACTCAAATACACCCATGATGATCCTAAATGGTGGGTTGAATTTGTAAATATGTACTCCATGGACACTAAGGACTGACTGGTTCCACACTGTCATAATTGTTATTACTATAGAGTCTCTTGCTAAACACCAGAATGTTTCCTCATCTTTGTTCTAAATCTGAGTACTACCTCTTTTCATTGCTAATATGAATTGCATCTTTTTAAGAGTGCTCCCTGATTCTTGACGGTGTATGAGAATGCAATTCTGCATACTTATATCTAACTACACTAGTCAACCTTTGTTCTAAATCCTAACCATTTGAACATGTGTCTGAGTTTCTGTATAAAAAAATCACACTCTAATTTGAATGCTTTAGGTGTTCATGTTCAGTGTCTGGAGCCTCCTGCTCAGGTTGAATAGGAGTGATAAAGCAGCAGCCATGGCCTTCTACATGTTTGCTGTAGGGTTTCTTGAGTTACATGAACTCCCATTCATTTCTAGTGTCTTAGAAAGCATTTTAGGGACTGAAGAGATGGCTTAACAGTTAAGAGAACTGGTTGTTCTTGCAGAGACCCTAGGTTCAATTCCCAGCATCCACATGGTGACTAACAACCATCTAAAACTTCAGTTCCAGGGAATCTGACCCCTCTTCTGACCTCCATGAGCACCACATGACACAGGCACACCTGTCTGCATGCAGGCAATATATTCATACACATAAAATAAAAATAATAAATAAAAAATATCTTAGAAAACCTTTTATACTATTTTGAAAAAATCAACTGCTGTGTTACATATACTGAGGTGATGGCATAGTTTTTTCTTATTTGATAGGGTGGGTTTCATTAATAGATTAACTTACATAAAAACTAAACTTAATTTGGTTCCCAGCGCCCATGTCCTGTGACTCACAACTGCTTGTAACTCCAGCTCCAGGGTCTCCAACACCTTCTTAGGCCTCCTTGGGCACTGCACAAATCTCAATCTCAAAATCTCTCTCTCTCTCTCTCTCTCTCTCTCTCTCTCTCTGTCTCCCCACACATATACATAAATAAAAAAATAAAAATAACTTTGAAAATAAGCCAATTATCCCAATGCAAGCTACATAATGTGCCACTGATTTTGATGTCAGTATTTACTTATTTTTCCTTTCAGAATTCATAAATTTAGGTTAACTTTTTAAATAGTGTATTAAAGATAGAAGCTTATTATAATCACAGTAGTTTTAGATATTCAGAATTTGTTTAAAAATATTTTGCATATAGATGCATATGCATGAACACAAAGGCACATACATGTGTATACCGATACAGAGAGAGTTCTTGCCTATTTATGATATGTCCTTGGTTGTTAGAGAAGTGGCAAATAGTTTTCTTTAAAACTTTAGAGAACGGTGGGGCTGGAGAGATGGCTCAGTGATTGTGAGCACTAGCTGCTTCTACAGAGGACCTGGGTTCAGATTTCAGCACCCATATGGCAGGTAACAATCATCTGTGACTTCAGTTCCAGGGGATTCAACACCCTCTTCTGACCACTGAGGGTATCATGCAACACAGGTGCACTTACATAGATGTAGGCAATGCACTCATACATTTAAAATAATAAAATATGTTTATTAAAAACTCTAGAGAAACTGTAAGAAAATAATTAGCCTGTGTATTACAGTTACTTACACAGGATACAGTTTGAGAGTTTATAGCAATAGATTGAAAGCTAAAAGTGGTACCTTCAGAGGGCCAAGGAGAGGTTTTCAATTCACAGATAAAGTGTCCTTCTGCTCGCTGCAGTGTGTGCACTCCCTCATGGTCCTCAAAGACAGTGAAGCATCATTGAGTGGAGAATGCATTTATGTGAGGAGCAGCTCTGTCCTGTTGAGGTGACATTTGCATTACTGATGGTGCCACTGTGGTCAAAGCAAGACCAAAATTCCTTTACATTTAGCCATCTTGAAGAGGATGTTTTGCAGCCTGAAAGAATTGCTGGCCTAGATCCTCTCAAGCATCACTCACCTTCTTTATATGACAGCTTAAATTTAGCTCTTTTCATAGGATCTGAACCCATGCCATCCAGAAGGACTTCTCTACCCAGCCACTTCCTTCTACAGAAGCAAATGGCACTCCATGTTTGTTCCAGAGTTTCTAATCACTGGAAAAAAACGTATGGAAAATAGAAGTCACGGATTTCACAATATGCATGCATATCCATGCACACACACACACACACACACACACACACACACATACATGCACACCTTGATTATACTATCAAAAATGAGAGGTTTGTTCTGTTTTGTTTTACTAAATCTTTTTTCTGCATTGCTTTGTGTGAACATGAAAGTGAGTTTTTCTCTTTATTGTTGGAAATGTGTGAATTAAATACATTGTTTCCATCTATTCTTAACTTAAAATACAGAAGAGTACAATGAGATAACCCATAAATTTTCAAACAGCATTTAGCTGTCATTTGTTTTGAACACGCTATTTTACTGTAGAGTGGTAGAAGATATAGACTCTGCTATCCTCTTAGGCTGAAAGCTTAAATGTTCTGCGTTCCTACCACCAGGGTCTGAAACTTCACCTTTTTTAAGCTAGCAAATCATCCTATTCCTGTTGATGGTTACTTCTCTGGTTCAGAGACAAGGAGCCTAACTGCTCACAGGCAAAGCTCTGACTGGAATGGCTGGTCTGTGTCTGCGTCTCATGCCCCGTGGTCTTGGGTAAAGCTCCCATCATGGATGCCTACATATGCAGTGAGCTACTTTACAGAGGAGGAACACTGAGCTTAGGGAACTTGTGCCTTTGCAGTAAACTCTGTGTGTGTGTGTGTGTGTGTGTGTGTGTGTGTGTGCATACGCATGTATATGTGTGTGATGCCTATATGTATGTAAGTCACCCATGTCATACAATGCCCATGGAGAACAGAAGAAGGCATTGGATCCCCTGGAACTGGTTGTTAGCCACCGTGTGGGTGCTGGGATTTGAACCTGGGCTTTAGAACAGCCAGTGATCTTAGCCATCTCTCCAGCCCAGCTTACACTTTGTTTAGGGCACATGTCACTTCCTCCTTCCCAAAGTTCTTCCTCTCAAGCTTGGTTAATGCAAATACAGTCCAGGAAATGAACTGCACAAAATAGTCAAGGTCTTAGCCAGCAGGAGCTTGTAGGTATACCCATACCCATGGCAGACTGCCTTTCCCAGCACAGCTCAATAATCATCAGGTAAGAATCCATGGCCAGTAGCAGGCATCACAGAGCAGTAACAATACAGGGAGCAGGCTGGATAATCTTGATAAAGCCCATTCCATCCCACATCACCTCCATTTCACATTGTGCACCTTAAATGACACCTTGACTGATAATGGCCTCCTATGGAATTTCTTTCATTATTCAGAGAAAGAAAACGTATTGGAAGAGGAAACATAGTAAATGAGCTGGTGAAAAGGAATGTAAGAGCTTGTCTTCTGTTCAAGGATATTCCCAATATGCAATGGAATCAAAGTCCTGAACTCTTAAATCAAAGTCTTGACACATAGGCATCTGTTCTCATTTCTGATACCAGTCTCTGGCAATTACATTATTAGAATCCAGAATTTACTTGGAGTATTTTTTATCTGTAGAATTTGTTCTATATGTGATAGCCTTAATTTTATTAGTGTTAATACCTTTAGAGTTAAATATGCAGAATGTCCAGTCTTGGTATCAACAGCAGTATGGATGTTGATTTCCACACTTGCCATTTCAACTGACCTTGTAAAGGGATTTTACAGACTGTAGATTTCAGCACTTGTGGAGACATTCTGATAAGGCTGCCAAGGGGTAAAGTCATTACTTAAGCCAGAAAGGAATTCTGGAGTAACAAACACAATTCCAGTGGTGTGCAGTTAGAAAAAAGCCAAACACTGAAACAGCTATGGGGGGGGGTCTTTTTGGCATATGTTTCAAATAAACACACTTTGTGAGACTTAAAGCGGTGTTTGAGAATGCATATTCACATGAAAGGTTATGATTTGTGTTCCTTTTATGTGAGTAGTTTTATTTGGTTTCTAGTGGAAATATATGCAAAATTAGTGTTATTTTCAGAAAGATTTTCTTTCCTATGACAATGGAACATGTGGGCATTAAAGTTGAAATTTCCAAGTACCTTTTCAGTTTGTAGCTATGCTATATTGACAGATGTCACTGTTTTAGTTATAATTTTGAATTATTCTCTGAGAGATGTAAAATATATAATGCAAAGTCCCATATAATCTTCCAGAGTCCTCAGTGGTGCATCTTTAAGGTGAAAATGGTGATTTCATTGGAGAAATGCCCTCTTCCGCAGGAGTTTGTTGGGGATCCCAGTCCCTGAAGTATGATGGGTCTAGAGATGGGACTAACAGGGACCATCAGAAAGTCTCAAAGTCAAGGTCATAGGGAGGGATGGCTCCCCTATGCCTCCAGCTCTGATCAGCATCATGAGCACCAGACCCACTTTTCCAACCATTCTCTAACAT